CAGTGGTTTAGAAGCCTGAGTTCTGAAGTTGGTTATATATGTCTGGGGTTCATCCGGGCAAACCATGGGAAGCTGTGTGAGAGCTTAGGGTAGTAGTTTAAACTCTCTGAACCTTGGCTTTTTAATCTATCAAAATAAAGAGTATGCATGACTGCACCTCAGAAGACCTTCTCTCAGTAGCCTGTGGCAGGCGCCCAGGAGCTGCTGTTAGCTAGACAGGACACTCTTCAGATCTCCACACTTCCTCTGTGTTACCACCATTTTCTTAGCTTTCTCTCTCTCCCTCTCCCCTAAATTTAAGCAAAGACTACCTTTTTTTCTTCTTTAATTTTTTTATTACATTATGGGGGAGAGGTGGCATGTGTGTGTGGGGTTCAGAGGTCAGCCTTCAAAACTCAGCTCCCTCCTTCTACCATGAGGGTCTTGGGGACCAAACTCAGATCATCACTGCTATGATAAAGCGAGGGAGAACCTTGGCATATGCCATGGCAGGCGGGGTGACCAAGGGAGAGGGACAAACATGCCAGGCAGGCAGACAGAGCTTAAGTGAGATGTTTTATTGGAAAGGAAAACAGGGGAGGGGGTGAGGGTAGAGACAGAGTCAGAGAGAGGACAGAAGAGAAGAGGGAGACAGGGAAAGTCCTGTCTGCCCCAGGGGAACAGAAAGAAAGGGAGAAAAAGTGTAAGTGGGCAGGGTCTTTCTTTTTAAAGGGGTTCTTTGCATCTGTGTGCAGACTACACAATCATGGAACCCTGGGCTGACCAGGATACTGCCTGAGTGCATTCTGCCAGGTGACAGGGGCAGGCAGGCTGGGTGGAAAGTATCTTTACTAGTTGAACTAGATACCAGATACTTCTTTCTTCCCTTCGTCCTTCTTTTTAAAAAATTTACTATTATTATTATCATTATTTTTTTTGAGACAGGGTCTCTCTGTGTAGCTTTGGAGCCTGTCCTGGAACTCGCTTTGTAAATGAGGCTGGTCTCCAACTCTCAGAGATCCACCTGCCTCTGCCTCCCGAGTGCTGGGATTAAAGGTGTGAGCCACCACTGCCCTCCTTGATACTTTTCTCTTAATAAAAATCTAACCTTTCTTTACATAAGACACCCAACTTTGCTTTATTTAAAAAAAAAGATAACAATGAAATAACTATTAGAGGCTCAAACCTTTATTGTTACTCCAAGAAAGGTACTCCAAGAAATGCCCAAGTGGAAAGATGACTCACCCAACCCTGGGGCAGGGGCGGTGCCACTCAGGGGACCCCCAGGCCAGAGGACATGTCCCCCCATGTGGGAGACTGCAGCCCCTTCCTCCATCCTCTGGCAGTCTGCAGGGGTTTGGCTATGGACATCTCAGGAGCCAAGGTGCCCACGGGTTCCTGCCAGTGCTGTCTTCAGGCCCCTGGGCATACTTTTTGTTAACAAGCCCACCCCAGCTAATGGAGGCATCTTGCCTCAATCTGCTGGCTGTTTAAAGTACTGGGGTCAGTCAAGGGACAGTCTTTTGGAGGAAGCATAACCCAGCTTCTTCAAGCAGTGATTTGGGCAGGGCCCTCACAGTAGTGCAGACTATAATGATGCAAGCCCCCATCCCCACTCCCACTCCCCCAGTGAACTGAAGGCCCTGCCAGCCTTTGGGGGACATCGTAGCAGTGTTTCTGCCTCATCCACCAGCCATCTCGGACCTCTGGGAGGTCTTCTTCCTATCAGTCTCCTCTAGAGCCTCCGCGACGGCCTGGGAGGAGCATCACGTCGAAGGTCTCTAGGCAACTGGATCATTGTGCAGAGATGGGAGGACCAGGATCAGAGGCTTGGTCCAGCCCTAACTCCAAACCACTCGGTTCTCCTCCAGGTGGTTTTGGATAAGTCTTTAGCCTTCTTCGGCTACAGGTTTCTCTCACGGTCCACAAAACCAAACGGTGATCAGGAGGCAGATACTGGAAATGGGGCTGCGGGTTCCTGCAGCAAAGCCACATTCGGGACCTGGACTCAAACCTCTAACTCCTGCGCTGCGCAGATCCAGAGAGCCTGCTCTGGGCTCGCCATGAGCCTCTGCTAACTGAGAGGCTTGGGAACAAAGGAGTACACGAGGGGCTCAGCGAGATAGGGACTGGGATGCGCGTGCATTGTCAGAACCATGGGACTACGCTGAGATCCAAGGTGGGTGGGCGCCTAGACTTCTAAAGAGCTAGTGGCCGAAGCCTTGTGAAAGCCGAGGCCAGGGCTGCAGCAGCCTCGAAAGGCTACCCTCCGGCCACCGCCCGCAGCAGCCCGCCAGGACTCCTGACCCGACCGCTCCCTGAGCGTACCTGGCAGTAGCAGCAGCACCAACAGCAGCATCGACAGCAGCGACCGTAGCGGCACAGCGTCCATGCCTGGAGATCGCACGGACAGAGAAGGAGCTGTGCGAGCCCGGGGACCGCGGCGCTCCTCTCGGCTTGGGGTCCCGAACTCCGACGCACTTGCGTGCCCGAAATGCAAGAACCCGGGGCAGCCAAAGGCTGGGAGCAGCCGCGGGGCGGGGAGGCCAAGGAGGGAGCTGCACCCGCCGTGGGAGGGGCGTCGGGTCCCTGCCTCGCCCTGAGCAGCCCTGGAGACTGGAGACCGCTAGGCTAAGGACCAGACCGGAGCAGACACTGCTACCATTGTCACCATGGCAGGAAGGATGAGCAAATCTCTGGCTAGGGCTTCCTGGGCGGGTGGCGCTCCCAGAAGGACTGGGGGATCACCGCAAGACTGCGCCAGGTCCATTGCAACTCAAAAGGAGGCAGTGAAGTTGATGCTCTTAAAATAATTATTTTCAGCGTGATACTGGTGTGTGAACATACATACATACATACATACATACATACATACATACATACATACATACATACTACAACATCCAGTTAAGGGGGGATAGGTGGGTTGGAATCGAAACAGTATTGCTGATAAGTTTATCGTGGACGGGTGATGACATCTGGGAGGTCTTATATTATTCTCTTTATTTAGACTAGCTCCTTGATAAAACAGAACAATGCCAGAGGTTACTGCTCAGCAGGAGAGGGCTTGCATAGCATACCTGAGGCCCAGGTTTTGATTCCCAGCATAGTAAACAAATGCTTTTATAAGTAAGCTTGAAACACCCACAGAGAGAGAGAGAGAGAGAGAGAGAGAGAGAGAGAGAGAGAGAGAGAGAGAGAGAGAGAACATGGCCACTCTGACCCTTGTAGCCCCTCCTTTGTCTCACTGTAACCTAGAAGCCTGGGAATCCCAGGAATGGACCGTGACAGGGTAGGTGTCCTGGGGTCCCTTGACCTCTCCAGCTATGCACCAGGGAAGGTGTGGCACTTGGAGGCTTCCCTGATGGTCATTAAGGAGCTTGTTAGTGTGAAAGAGAGGCACTAGGCTGGTGATGACATACTAAAACTCAAGGACTTGATCACTGAAAATGAGTGAATTTTATGTGTAAATTATACTTCAATAAAAGTGTTTATTTTAAAAAGATTTTTATTTACTCTGTGTGTGTGTGTGTCCACATGCACTCGTGCTTCTGTGAATATGCATACACGTGGAAGCCAGAGAAAGTTCTCTCCTTCCATCTTTATACGGATTCCAGGGATGAAATTCAGGGTGCCCGGCTCAGAGGTAAGTACCTTCACTCACTGAGCCATTGTACTGGCCCAATGAAGTTCTTTTTAAAGATGCAGCAGAAAGAAGCCAGTCTCCAATTACTCCCTGGAGGATTCCATTTAAGCAGCAGGCTAGAAGATTCTGAACTAGAGTGATGGAGAAAAGGTAAGGGGTGGCCAGGGCTAAGCGTGCAGGGCATGACACTGTACAGAATAATAGCAGAGCTTGAGTGAAGCACCCTTCTTTTGTCCTGGTGTCAGTGATGGTCATACAAATATATACTTACATTAAAATGTAAAGGATTATACACAATGAAGTCAATTTTATTGTATGATAATTCTAAGAACAAAACTCTTTGAAATATTCTCCTTCAGTGTCTGGAGACCGACCAGTCAAGAGCACTGGCTGCCCTTCCATAGGAACCAAGTTTGGTTCCCAACACCCACGTGGTGGCTTCTGTCTGTAAGTCCAGTTCCTGGGATTCCAGGGGTACCAGACATGCACACAAATACATGAAGACAGAACATCCATATACATAAAATAGTATTTGAAATTTTAAAAAATATTCTCCTTAATTCCAGAAATACCTTGAGGGCCAACAATGGGGCATGCAAGCACTGTGAGAAGAATGGATGAGAGAGTGAGAAATAGGCCTGAACCAACCATGATGCAAAGGTCCAGAGCAGCCAGAGCTGTGACGTCCCAGAGAAGGCCACTCTTTTTAGAGGTGGGGGCCAAGGAGAGCTACTCAGAGGTAGCATGTGAGTTTGAAGCAGGAGCCAATCATTCATTCATCCATTCAACAAACATTTATTTTTAACTTCTGTGCGCAGAGCTCTGTCTCACACCCTGGCCCTTGTGGAGCATAAACTCTCATGGGTAAGGTACAGGTGACTGGTGTGCCACCAACTAAGAACTACAGGTATACATGGGGGACACCCAAGGAGGTTGGAGGTTTAATGCAGCTATGGGAGACACTGCTTTGGAATGCATAACTAGTGAAGGCTTCTACAAGAAATGACACTGGAGCAGAGGATCATGGGAGTAGAGCCCTGACAAGTGCGGCCATGTGAAAATCTTAGGAAGTAAGAGTCTACGGATTTGGGCAGGAACTACAGCAGATATAGAGACTCTGGCCTGGGAGAATCTGAAAGTGGGGGGAGAGGAGGAAGAACAAGGAACCCAGTGGGCAGCTGGAGTGGAGAGAGATGGAGGAAAGGCGGGATGATACCACAGGTGCTGCTGTGGGACTGCCTGACTCCAGTGCCCCGCCCAGGGAATGAAGGAGGCCAGGCTGGACTTCAGCAGCCTAATGCCCTCCCTCAGGGACTAACTCAAAGGCATTCTGAGGGAACCATGAAAACCACCCACCTTTGTCCTTCTCGTGGCTGTTTTGATGGGGCTGACTGCCAGTGGTCACATCTTTATTTAGGGTCTCATTAGCTGTGACCTAAAGGAAGCAGTAAAGCGCCCACTTGGCTTCTCATATCCTCTCCCCATAACCCAGGGGCCCTTGGCATGCTGGGTAGCCTAGGTGGCCTTGGAAGGTGCATGGGTCTGGAAGAGGGGGGGTAGGAAGAGCCCCACGGTGCCCAGGATGCACACAAATACAAACACCCACAGGAACAGGCGGTCAACGACCATCGCTACGAATTTCCAGTCCTCGATGACCTGCAGACAGACAGGGACAGGTTACAGGTGCCAAGCACAGAGTGTACCCTCCCTCTGAACCACAGCTTCGCCTGCTGACCAGGACCCGACAGGCGACACGGGGCTCAGAGCCATGCATTGGTGTGGCAGGTTCTGAATCCCAGGCTGCCTTCCACTGGGCAATTCTGTGCTTCTCCTGCTGTTCTTCAACCCCACCTGGATTTGACCAGGGTTGTGGGGGAGTAGCAGAGCCACGGGAACTTGGGCTGTACGGTTGTTTCTCAGTCTCCTTAGGATCCCCTATGAACACCCAAACCCTGATGCTGCTCAAGACCTCACAGAAAGCGTGCAATATTTGCACACAGCTTCTAGCTAAGTTTTGGTCAACTCAAGTGAACCTCAATTGAAAAAAATAATGCCTCTATCATATCAATCTGTAGGGCATTTTCTTGGTTAATGATTGATGTGAGGGGGTCCAGCCCACTGTGGGTATTGCCACTCCTGGGCAGGTGGTCCTGGATCATAGAAGAAAACAGATGGAGTTAGTCATGAGGAACAAACAAGTGAACAGTGTTTCTTTGTTACAGTTCTGCTTTGGCTCTTGCCTTGAGTTCCAACCTTGGCTTCCCTCGGTGAACTATGACTCAGGATATGAAAGCCAAATTTTCTATACCAAGTTGCTTTTGGTCATAGAGTTCATCACAGCAATAGAACCCAAAACATCATTAAATCCTCCCCTGTATCTACAATGCCTATAGCCCATATGAATACTTAAGTGCCATATAAGTAGTCATTGTCCTGTATTTGGGGGACTAATGAAGGGAAGTTCACATTGTTTTACCCACAGTCAGATAAACCCATGGATGCAGAAACAGAGACCCAAATACACCACACAGGGTGATTTTAAAGCCAAATCTGGTTGTGGGTAAAGGAGGTTGGGGCTTAGGGATTGCTAGGTTCTTTCCATTTTTACCCCAAACCCTCTGTCTCAGCTGGCTTTAGAGAGGAGGAAATGTAGGGCCTGCCTGCTTCACAAGAGCTTGCAGAACACCTGGAAACACCACAGTGTAATCAGTTTCACTCTATTCACTGCAGTACCTGCTGTTTTCCATAATCAAGACTCCACCTCCACGGGCCTCATCATCTGGCTCTCTCCATTCCCACCCTCTGCCCACACTTCATCTTCTCAGACCCAACCACGGGACGTGACACTAGCAGAAACCTGCCTGGCTCCCAGGTAGCACCATAGATGTGCCTACCCCCTTGGTGCTATGAGACTCTTAGACAGTGGTCATGTGCACAGCATCCCAGCATCCCTCCTCCACCCCCTGGCTGGAAAGGCTCTTCAGAGACTCAGGAGTTAGAAATGCAGGCAGCAACGGGCAAGCTAACGTCAGTGACCCAATTTGCCAGGGCCTCATCAAGGGTGTGTGTCACACTCCAGGATAATCCTGAGTCAGATTAAACTCCACTCCCTCAAACACCGATTGTTCTTGTTCCTAAAATCTTGAAGGCAAGCAGGCTTTTCCACACTGGGTTGGAGGAATTCGTTTTGACAGCCTTAATTTCAAGTGCGTTCCCATCTCTTCCTGTTTTTGTCCTGCTTACCACGACCAGCTAGTCATTATTGAGGGCAAAAGTGCTGTAGATGAGAAACAGCTCCCAGGGTGGCTTAGTAGTGGGCCTGCCGTGAGAGGGAAAATGGACTTCTCTAACCACATATGAGAAAATCACGTAGTCAACAAACTCTTCATGTGCTCAGGGCAGGGCGAGACCCTCAGAGGGCCCCAGAGGTTAAGGATTGCAGCTATCTGCCAGCGTGTGACCCCAGACAAGTCAGGGTTATTCAGTGCCTCCGTTTCCCATTGTGAAATATGGCCTCTAGTGAATGTCACTTCCCGGGATCCCTGGGAGAGTCAGGATTGTCTGCCCACTCCACCTGATACAAGTCTGGCACTACAGGCACACAGGTGTCATCATCCCACCGACTTCCACCTGGCTCCTTCCCTCTCCCGGCTTGTTATTAACTCAAGAGTGGGTGGTGAGGTCCTTAGGAGAAAAAGCTCAGGAACCCAGGAGTTTGAAATCAGCCTGGTTAGCTCAAGCAGGAGGGCAGGAGACCAGTGCGTCTCATCCACAGGCATTTAAGAGGTGGCTCCTAAAGCTTCCTCCAGAAATCCTGACTCAGTCAGAGATGTAATTTTATCACTTGGGAGGTGGAGGCAGAAAGATCAAGTCCAAGGTCAGTCCTGGGGATGTGGCTGAGTGACAGGTTTGAACCCCAGCACCAGAATAAAAGCTAGGTTGAGGGGCATGCCTGAGGTCCCAGCACTGGGGAGGCACAGGCAGGAGGTTAGAAGTACATCAGGGTCATCCTCCACTACATAGGGAGGCCATCCTGGGTTACACAAAACAAGATCTGAAAAGAAAATAAAATAAAAAATCCACTAGCACTCTGTGTGCTTTTGACTGAAGTGATGGAGGACCACAAAGACAGATGAAAACTCGGAACTCAAGATTCAGTATGAATTTTGATACACACAAGGAATATGATGCATATGATTAGGTGTCGACAAGGAGGCTGGTTCTAAGGGTAAAGGGTTTGCATTTTTTTTTTTTTTTTTTAGTTTAAAGGTCACCTTCTGTTATGTAGTGAGTTCAAGCCCAGCCTAGGCTACAAAGAGGTGTGGGAGGGATGAAAGAAAGACTAGCATTATTAAATACAACAGGGCTGTGCTTCTGGCTGCACTGAGCCCTGGAGGCCTCAGAGATCTGGCTAAGATTCTGAGTTGGAGGCCCAAGAGGAATCTTGGTGTGTAACAAACTCTAGGTGAGGTTGATGCTGCAGGACCCGGAGCTACTCCCTGAGCAGCAGGCAGATGGCCCACGGGCCTTACATTGCTTTTCTTAGCAATTGTCTTCTTTCTTCACAGTGTGATTCTGCAGCTTGTGCTCTACAGTTGCCGCTAACTACGGGAATGCCAGCATTCACCTGGTGCTAACTACCAGAATGCCAGCGTTCATTTTCTCCTGTCGATCTAGTTGGTGGGAAGGAGCTACAAAAAGTTAAGAAGGAAGAAGTCGACTTCTCTTCTGTTCCTGCAGCTGCCGGTGGGGAGATAACAATGTTGCAACATAAAATGTTGTTTAAGGGGTCTAAGAGGTTTTGCATTGAAACAGGCATGCTTTTTCAGGAAGAGAAATAGTAGGAAGTTCTAACCATGAAGGTCTCCATGTTTCCATTCGTTATCAACTCTCCCTTACATGTTGTCCCCACCCCCACCCCCCAACCCCGCTAGTTTTCATTGTGGCCTTGACACAGCCTTGAATCACCCTTGAAAGGAGTCTCAGCTGAGGGACTGGCCTGATGGGATTGTATTGTGTCCAGGGAGATAGTCTTGATTGCTAATTGATATAGGAGGCCCCGCCCACTGTGGGCAGCTTCATTCCCTGGGCAGGTGGCCTGGGATGTATAAGGAAGGTAGCTAAGCATGAGTCTGTGAGTGAGCCAGCAAGGAGCCCTCCTCCATATTTTCTGTTATTTTTTTACTGTGGTAATTATGCTAGAAGTAACTCTGTTGGAGTAGCAAGCAGGCCTGACTTCAAGTTCCTACCTTGAGTTCCTGTGACTTGTAAGTATAAGCCAAATAATTCCTTTCTCTCTGAAGTTGCTGCTGTTATAGTGTTTGTCATAGCAAGAGAATGAAACTAAAACACCTGTTACCATTTGTTCAGAGGAGTCATTTGTGCCCAGACTCTAGAACTCATGGTATCGGTGAGGGAGAACTTTACATCATTTTAGAAAATCTGCAATTCTTGTCATCCTATATGATAATGTATTAGCCTGGAAGCAACAACTTTGACATTTCTATGCCCCTGAAAGATATAACTGCTCACAGAGCTCCCTTGCAAGTCTGAAAATGTAGGAACAGATGCTCCAAGCAACCCAACCCAAGCTGTGATCTCTTAGGGTGGCTGAGCCACCTTCAAAACCACTGAGAACCTTCCTCTCCAGGGCATGCAGTTCTCCTCTGTTTCTCCTCAGGGTTTTCTCTACCATAAAGGGTGCTTGTTCTGGCAATTGGGCATAAATGGAAGATCAACTCCCAGGGCTACTGTCAATTGGAAAGGGATGGGAGCTGGGGGATAAATACTCCAGCCTCCATCCAGGACATGATACTGAGGCTAGTTGTCTAGGTCCTTGGGGGTCTCTATGCTGCCCCCATAAGAGTAGGCTCACTGATATCCTACAGCAGGGCCCCTCTTTCCCTTTGTGTTGCTTTCTCTTCATCCTCAGTATTCTTCCTAGGGTTGCATCACAAGTTAAGTTCCTTGTACCCCAACCCCATCTCAGGCTCTGCTTTGAGAGAATCCAGGACCAACACTGGGAGATCATTGTTTCTTCCTCTTCCTCACCTATGAATCTATGATAAAACATTCCCATGTCAAATGTCTTACTGGGGGGGGGAGGTGTTGACTTACACTCTGATCTTGATCATCACTTCTCAGATGCTGGGCGATGAAGGTGACGCCCTCTACAGCTTCCTGTAGGTCCTGCCGGAACCTCCCAGAGGCCCTCAGTCTGCCACCTCTGGGGTTGCCTGCTGTGTGGGAGCTGACTGCAGACTTGGGAGTGGCAAGGACTGGGTTCACAAAGTACATGGAATGTCCATAGACGTTAGATGGGCTGCTGGGGCCTAAGGCAGAGGTGGATGCAGCATCAGCTGTGGTCAGGTGCAACTGGCTGGGATGAGGGATCCCCGCTGGGTTAACTTTGAGACCTGGGCGCTTCATGAAGAGGAAAGTGGGCAGCTTGTGCAAGAAGCACTCCTTGACCCAGGCTGCCATGGTGTGAGTGCTGGGTGAGCGGTGGTGTACGTTGAGGACACATACAGTGGTGACGATGGAAAAGGTGACCAGCACCATGGTAAACAAGAGGTACTTGCCAATGAGTGGTACGTCAAGGGAGGTGGGAGGCACAATCTTGGAGATAAGCAGCAAAAAGAATGTGAGTGCTAGCAGCACGGAGATGCAGAGTGTCATCTTCTCCCCACAATCAGAGGGCAGGTAGAAGACCAGGATGGCCAGCGAGGTGATGAGCACACAGGGGATGATGAGGTTGATGGTGTAGAAGAGTGGCTTGCGCTTGATGATGAAGTCATAGGTCACGTCCACATAGCTGGGGTCCAGTGGGTTCACTGTCCTTCGTCCTGGGAGGGCCACGATGTCCCACTCACCACTGGGAGTAAAGTCATCCATGATGGCTGTGGGCGATTTAAGGACCATGTCAATCTCTGTGTGGTCATAGGTCCAGGAGCGAAATTTGAGGGTGCAGTTCTGTTGGTCAAAGGGAAAGTGCTTCACTTCAATCTTGCAGGCACTCTTGTAGATGGCAGGGGGCAGCCACTGGATGCTGCCATTGGAACGCACGATGACATTGGCATAGAAAGACACCTCGTAGGTCCCATCAGCACTGGGGTGGGGCACAGCATAGAGGAGAACGTCACAAATCTATAGAGGAAGACTGGCTTGTTCTCAGAACCCCCAAGAGTCCTTGGGGGTCATCTGCTTTCCTCTCTAAAACAGGCCTTCTTTTCTTGACTCGACGACTCCCTACCATGAGGCACTGAAAGCCTCTCATGGAATTAGCTCAGTTAAGCCTCACAAGAGTCTAAGGAAGCAACATTTCTATTGTGTTCCTCATTTTACAGCTTGGAGAGTGATGCTTAGGGAAGCTCAAGGACATCAAGCTCCTTAGCCTAGTAACCAGTAAAAATGAGATATGGACCCTCGTCTTAGCCCATCCTTGGCTGTCTATTCTTTCTCTCAAGATTGATCTCTTTGCCCAGGCTTAAAATGGGTAATACGATTCTGGGACAGGGTGTGGTCAGTACAATGGGTGTGGGGGGTGGGGTGGATATTTCACTACACAGGCTGATTTCAAACTCCTGGGTTCCTAATCCTCCTGCAGCATCCTTTCCAATAACTGCTATCACATTAATAACACTGACAAAGCTACCTGCTGTGCTGAGCAGAACAAAGTTTCCCCTCTCTGGGCTTCCCTTCCCACCCTCCCACTTAGAAGGCTCTATCTCCATCTCTCTAGTTCCATGGTCTAGAAGTCTGAGTGAAGTGTAGAAGAGAAAGGATGGGGCTGGCTCAGAGATGGATGGCCCTGTAGACTGGCTTGCTGCTCTGGTCTGACCTTAATTAACTTTAGCCATCCCATCACTCACTTGTTATACAACACGATGTCAGGCAACCAGACACGCTTTGCAGGGATCCTCAGAATGTTCACCCCTTCATAGTAGGAGCTGTTCCAGGCCAGGCGGTAGTCAGTCCATTCCTGAGTACATAGACAGGGCCATGTCACCTGTAGGTCCATTGTGACCAAAGAGCTGTCCCAAAGGAAACATCACCTAGGCTGGGGAACCCTCCAAGGCACTTACCTGTTTTAGCCAGATGTTGGTGGTCATGATTTGTTCTCGCTCATTCTGGGGAGGGAAATGAGGGTGTCAGTTCATCTGGAAGGAGGGGCCCCCACAAGTGGACAATATATTACCTCAAAAGCCTCTGAGTCCCTGGCCTACGTGACCAGCTGCCACTTAAATATCTCTTAGGTGTTATGTGATATGTTACCTTTTGCATTGCTGCAACCACATGCTGACAAGAAGCTGAGGGAGAAGAACTGATTTTTACTCACAGTTTCATGGCCTTCATGTGGAGCTGCAGGGGCAGGTGGAAAGCAGGGACAGACGAGCTAGAACTGGGGCTGGGCTTTGACCCACAAGCCTGCTTATGACAACCTTTTTCCTCACCTCTTAACTGTTCCATGACCTCTCAGTGGAGCCACCTGGGGACAGTATTCAAAGACATGAACCTGTGTGGGACATTCCATATTCAAGCAGGCTCCTGATCATTTTATAGTGCAATGGATGCATTCAATAAAACTTCAAAAGGCTGCATAGTCTTATGGTTCCAGCACTGTAAGAGCTGGACATCTTTTCTAAGATTCCAGACACTCTCTAAACGTGAGTCCCTGTAAAATCAGAAGATGAGTTGCTTCCAACATAGAATGGCATAAATATTTCCATTCAGAAAGCAAGAGATGGGAGCATAGCATAGGCCATAAGACACCAAAGGGGCTGGAGAGACGGGTCAGTGGTCAAGAGCAGAGGCTGCTCGCTCTTCAGAGGACCTGAGTTATATTCCCAGCACCTACAAGATGACTCACAGTCACCTATAACTCCAGTCCCAAGGGATCCCGTGTCCTCTTTTGGCCTCTACATGTGCTGTACACATGTGGTGCATGTACAAACATTCAGGCAAAATACCCATATGCATAAAACAAAAATAGATCTTCAAAGATTGGACCAAAGCAAGACTGAAACCTTACTGGGGAAACCCAAAATTTTGTAGCTCCATGTCCAGCATGTGGGGCTCTTGGTGATATCATCTGGGTTCCAAAGGTAGGAGATAGCCCTATCCCTCCCGTTCTGTCACCCAGATTGACACCACTCAGTTGCCTGCAGTTTTCCTTGGGGAATGTTCCCTGCTTTCTACATCTCCTAAATCCTAGGGCCTCTACTGCAACTTAATCTTTACCTTCACAGCTTCATGAAATGGCTTCTCGGGGTCTCCTTGCAGAGAGTCCGATCAGGCCACACCCTGGCTGCCTTGGAAGCTTTCTGAAACCTTGAGAAAGGTTTCATCACCCTGTTCCTCCCATATCTTCCACACCTGAGAAACCAGGACCAAATGAGCAATGCTAATTCTGATGCCAGCTTAAGAGGGTACCCTTCTAACACAGCTGCTCCAGACTGTGCGTTTGTGGCTGACTCTGAGAAGACACATCCTGGATAGTGGGGTTTGAACAGGAACCCAGCAGAGGCATTTGTAGTTCACGCTTTCAGGCTCTCTCCTTTTAAATTCACTTGCTGGGGTCTTTAGTGGGTGGAGTCTTGCTCCCAAGGCATCCAGTGCACAATGCCTGGTTTCTCTTTAATGACTTTTTTTTTTTTTAAGATATAGCCAATTTGTCAGCAACCCCATCCACCTTCAACTTTGGACATATTCATATTCCTTTCCAAGGTATGTTTTTCAGTTCTTCCTGGTCTGAATTTTCATTATGAAGTTCACTAAACACAGCAAGCAATAACCATGTCACAACATGAAAGCTATACTGCCTTAATATTTTCTTGGCCAAGCAACTTAGTCCATAGCCTTTTAATGTAGCTAAATTCAAATTGTTAGGACATAGCAAAACAGGGCCAGATTTTTTTTTTTTTTTTTTTTTTTTTGACAGAACATAGCAGAAATGGCCTGTAGTTTAGCTCCCAATTGAGTCTTTGTTCCCTTCTGAAATCTCATGAGCCTAGCTAACAGGGAAAGTCAGCTCTCTCTCTCTCTCTCTCTCTCTCTCTCTCTCTCTCTCTCTCTCTGCATTCTGATCTCCCACAAGCTCACCCAAGTGATCCACTAAACTCTAGTTACAGCATGTATGGCTTCTCTCATCCTAAAGCTATATATAACGCCCCTGTTTGTCCCTGTGTAACTCAGTTCCAAGGGCTTATGAACAACCTGGTCAGGTTTATCTCATCAACAAGCCTGCTCCCCAGTTCCAGCTTTCTGTATTAGGTATTTTGTTCATCACTGCGACCAAATGTGTGACAAGTGGGGAGAAGGGGTCCTAGCTCACAGTTTCATGGCAAGGGAGGCAGAGCATCTGGAGACTTGTGGCTGGTCATGATGTGGCAGTAAATGGATAACTGATATTCACACCCTCAACAGGAGCCAGGCTAACATCTATAAACCCACCTTCAGTGGCCTACTTCTGCCAGCCAGGCCTTACTGTTTAAATGTCCCACGGTTCCTCAAATAAGTGTCACTAGCTAGAGACCAAGTGTTCTTACACATGAGCCTGTCTGTGGAGACCATTTCACATTCCAACCATATTAGACAACTCAAAAGATATTTCACACCCAGCACATCGGAGACAAAGCTCATGACCCCCCCCCGCCCCTCCCCCAAAACCTAGAAGTTCTGACATATCATGCCTAGGCCATCAAACCCTCTCAGGTGTATTTCCTATATCTCAAAATTGTTCACGCCTCTCTATGCCTGTTGCTACTATGATCTGTTGCTTGGACAACTGCAGTAGCTTCCTGGCTGGCATTCAGGTACTCTTTTGAATCTCAGTTCCTCAGACCATGCTTCTGTGTTTGAGAAATCTACTATTTCCCAAACTCACTCAGAGTAAAAGCCAAAGTCCTACACAGAGCCTATGATACACTTGCCTCTGCATTTGCAACCCCTAAGGTGGCCATGCTTGTTTCTTTACCTCTGACTTTGCGTATACTCTCTCCCTTCCCTGGAAATTCACACATTTTGACTTAACTTTTTCAAGTCTCAGAAATGTCACCTTATCAGAGAAATCTCCAGTCTTCCTACAAAAACTAGCACCCTGCTTCCTCTTACCACACACACCCTGTACTGTCTTCATAATACTTCTACCTGGACACTGTCTGTCATTTTGTGTACTGACCCTACCTCCCACTAGGATCCAAGGACCCTGAGGAGAAAACATGGACAATCAAACCTAGAGCAACAAGGATATGTTGGATACCCAGTGAATATTTTGAATGAATAAATTAATCCTATTATCATAATTCAGTTCAGTACCATCTATCCCTCACCTCGACTACTGTACAATCTTATTGGTCTAAATCCATTCTGCATCTCTCTCTCTCTCTCTCTCTCTCTCTCTCACACACACACACACACACACACACACACACACACACACACACCTACCTGTTCACTTTCTTCGGCAACAAGAATGAGTTTGCTAAAAGTTCCTGTTTCCCCTTCAACCTTATCTCTATTGAGACCTTTTTTCTTCTACGGGGGTAGACCAGTAACTCCCCCAGCCTCATTCTACTGCCCTGGCTCCTTTCTTCTGTGCCTCAGCCCTCTCAGCCTTCCCTAGTTTTTTGAATGTATCTTGTATTCTCTGTCTATATACTTTTCCCTGCTTTCTCTTCAGTAACTAACTTCTAATGCTCTGATTTCAGCATGGTACTTACTTCCTCAAGCAATTCAACTAGGTAATTACACCAGGACAAAGAGTGACACATGATGTGACATCTTTCACATATATGCATGTTTGCTCCACAAAACCATCCAGCTCTTTGCTGTCACACTAAGTGTGGCCTGCATCTACAAGTTCAAGATGGCCAGTGGGACTCCAGGCTGTTATGAGGGGAGGAGTAAGAAGAAAGGTGCATGTTAGTTGTCTCATTATGATAAATTTTTTTTTCAGTGAATCTTAAAGTTCTTATATATTTTCAGTTCTAGAAATCACTTTTGGTTCTTCTTAAAAATTCCCATTATCATTCCTTGAACCTATTGATGACAGCTATTTTCATTATAAGGAAAATCTTTTTTATTTTAAATTATGGCAAAATATACTTAAATGATTAAAAATTTTTATTGCATTCATTTGTGTGTATGTCCATGGATGCACATGCCATGATGTGAATATGGAGGTCCGAGAACAACTTGCAGGGTGCTGAGGATCTAAACTGAGGTCCTCATGCTTGTATGGTTAAATGAACCATCTCCCCATGCCCCTCTCCTACTAGGTGTCATCTGCTGGTACATATCTCCAAAGGCTCTACAGCAGGCAGCAAAGGGAACCATCTTAATCTACTCTGGGCTCAGCCAGTTTGGACTGATCTTCTATTGTTTCTGTTGCTCATTTTCAGTACTGGGGTGACCCTTCTGGGAGCCCCATCGAGTTCCATGTCCTTGGTCACATCCAGACTGCCATTGTGTCTCCTGTTAGCTCTGTGATGGCTCCAGTCCACCTCCCCATCCTCAGCTGCCACTCTCTCGGTTCCAGATCTTTGCTTTTTGGCCAGATACTGTTGGCCAGTAATCAAGAGTGGAGAAAAGTACCATAGGCTGGCAGGATTGCCTCCTGGAGCCTGGCCACTCAAGTTCTGGCTGAGGCTGCTAATTATCTTAAAACAGAGCTCTCCGGCCCTCCAGCATTTGGTCCAGCCCTTTTAATTGTTCTCCAGAAAAGCTGATCTTCCAGCATCTCTACCATCAATGAAAGCTGAAAATCTTGATTTATCTCCCCCCTTGATTTATCTTTTAAAAATATTTTTAAGCAAGGCATGACAGTGCAGGTCTATAATCCTAGCCTCTGGGAAGCTGAGGCAGGAGGCTCCTGACCAGACAGGGCTACATAGATAGACCTTGTCTCTAAACAAGACATTGTTTTATGTGGAGGCATGGTTTCCTTGGTGAGCATACTCATTATCCAGGAACTGCCTGATCAGTTTTCATGAATGTAATTTTTGTTTTTGTGTGTGTATGTGTGGGTGCACACATGTAATGAAGTTGTCTCTGCTGATTGAGGCAGTCTCTTGCTGAACCCGGGACTCACTCATTCTAGCTATTCTACCTAGCCTGCTTGCCTGGGGACCCTCTGTCTCTGCCTCCTGAGTCCTTGGTTTGTAGGTAGACACCATGTCTGCCTAGCTTTTAAGTGGGCTCCAGGGACCCAAATTCTGCTCATACTGCATGGAAAGGACCTTCGTCCACTGAGCGGGCTCCCCGGTCTCTTACCTCATTTTAAGATACAGGACTTTTCTGTCTTCCCTTGCTAGAGCAGGCAGCTGGCTTGTCTGATTAAGCACAAGACCTTTCTTTGCTGGTTAGGGATGCTCTGATAGTAGTCTTGGCTTGGCCTGGCCAGAAGCACTCCCTGCTTTCAGCTTCCTATGGCAGGGAAAGGGTATATGTCCCTCCCCATTCTGGACTAGGCTTCCTCCTAAGGGATAGAGGCAGTGACCAATTTGGGCAAAGCCTTCTCAAGTACTATAGATGGTAGAGTCTGAGCATGAAGGGTCATGGGCTGCAGGGGGCAGGAATGAAGAGGATGGCACTGCCTAAAGGAGGCCCAGCCCCTTCAGCTACCTGCTGATGGCTGGACACAGCGCCTATGTGACCATTTCCTCCAAGCTACTTCCAGGTTCTAACCATTGGGTGGGGACATGAGAAGGTTTACAAGGGACCATGTTTCCTTCAGACACAACTGTGGGGAGCAGGGGAGGAAATTCCAATCTCTTCCATCTTCCTCAGCAACTCCTCTTGCCTCAGTCCAGTTTTCAACACGTGGAATGCTGTCACCATTCTTACCACACCTATAGAACCTCCTATGCTTGTCCAGACCCTCATCCATATTCCTCAGCCCCTCACCTGAGCCTCTGTACCCAGCATTTCTCCTGGCCTTGTTCCTATTCACCCCCACACAAAATTAATGATATGGGAGGCCATCCTAGCAAGCTGGGAGTCATGAGTGTTGGAGGACCCAATGAGTCGAGCCCATGATGGATCCATAGGATGTCTGCCCAGTGGTTTTCACTGACCATTTCCTCTCTGACAACTAAACATCATGGACCTTCTCCAGTCTTCTTGCTACATACTGACAGATATAAACCAGGCAAACAAATTCTATTCCTCTGGCCAATAAATGGTTAGGCTTGGATGTCAGTTACTAACCCTGGCCAATGCGATGTAAGTGTCTATCAAGAAGACAGGACTCTGAGAGAGTTTTGTTGTTGTTGTCATTGTTGTTCCAAAAGGATCCAAAAGATCCCACAGCTATTGGCATCCCTGGCAATACCCAAGTCCTGACATCAGTGAAGAGTTAGTTAACACTGCAAGCATTGCCCTGCTCCTGGTTATGGGATGTGATAGATGGATGTCCATTTTGTTGTAGCCACTCTTGGTTGGATGTCCTATTACTGAATGTCAAGGCATTTAAATTGCTATTAAAAATGAGGGTTTTCAGATGGCTCAGCTATGAGTCAAGAGGTGCATACACTGGACAGCACATCCCAGGCAGTAAGAACAGCATGTGTATAGGCAATATATATATATTTTCTTGGATGAAAGTATCCTAACCTTGAAGGATGCTCAGCACCTTCATAGTATAGGTAAATTGTTTAACTCACAGATATGGGGGAAAGGCCTGATTGTCTGAAAAGTAGTGTTGAATGTTCATTTACAAAAGGCTGTGCCCGGGATGGAATGATGGACCTGGGGTGGTGCTGGATAGCAAGACACACAGCTGGCACCAATGGTTGGTATTAATTAAATGCATATTTCAAAATAGCAATGAAGAGAATTTTGAATATGCCCACACAACTTATAAATGTCCCAAGTTCTAGGTATGCCAATGACCCTGGACATGATCTTTACATGTATGAATGCAATGTCACACTGCATCCCACAGAGGGAAATTACTATGTGTCTAGAAAACATATATATTAATATATGCTTTAAGAAATAGTAGAGGAAAAGATTAGCAGTCTGGGGAAGTTACCTATCTGGCCAGGTCAGAAGTAACATTTTAGTCACATAACTCCCAGCCCTGCATCCTGAATGGCCATCACCATCCACTGCTTTCCCCAAGGCCCTGATGGCTACTGGAAGCAAGCCCTGCCTCTTCTCCTAAGCCCCAACCCACAGTTGCCCAGGCACCTACCACACTGATGAGCTGGGACAGTAGTAGTTCCAGCTGGACCGAGATGAGCTGAGAGGCACTGGTGGCTGGGCGAATTAGGTTGTTGTAGCGGGTTTTGTTCAGGAGGTCGTCCATCAGTTTCTCCTCGGCATTGGCCAGGCGGCAGTCCCCTGGGAAATCGGACAGTCAGGCCCACTGGGCCCTTGTCTGGGGGAATCCTACCGCAGCTGTGGCCGTGAAGGGGGTGGGAGAAGCTGAGTGCGGGAGCCCTGGGGCTGTAGTGGGGTGTAGGTGCCAGCACGCCTGCCTGTGTTATTCTTTCCTCTAGGCCAGACCACTTCCTCCTGCTCTTCCTGGCAGTGACAGTGAATGGCTTTCCATGCTCCAGACATCTAGTCCCAAGATTGGGCATCTGCTCCTTCTTGGGATCCTCCCCCACCCACCCACACACCACCACCATCACCACCAAGTCCCTATAGGGCCACTGAGACTATCTGTTTACACCCAGCTCCCCTAGTTTGTCCTCCTATTTCCACCGCTTGGCTGTCTCCCTCCTCTCCTGCCCTGGACTGTCCCAGCAGTCTCCTTGCTCTTCCCACACCCAGCTGTCCCAGCTACCCCTACATAGCCAGGTAGTCTTCCTACAGAACTGTGGGTGGGGGCTCTTCCCCACCCACAGCCTCCCTGAGCTGAAGGCAGTTAAACCAAGAATGCTTTGGCTTGACCTTTGAGGCCTATTTGCCCTTAGCAATGGCTTCTTTTTCTCGTCTTATCATTTTCCCTTAACTTTTCCACTTAACTGACCCCAGACTCTATTCTCTGGCCATTCCTACTGCTAACCTCTTTCCCATCTCATTTCCAGGTCTTTGTGCATACTCTTTCTTCTGCCAGGATTGTTCCCAGCCCCCCAACTGACCTATGTCTGAGTGGAGTTTGTACCAAGTTCTGTGCTGTGTGCTAGGGAAAGCAGCAAACCCCAGGAGCTGCTCCTGGCCCCCAAGGGAGGCATGCTCCTAACTTACCAGGGACACTTCTGAAATGTGGGCTTGTATGCAGAACTGGGTGTGTGGTAGTGTTTTCCCAGGGGAGGAAATGCCAACCTGGGGCTGGAGAAGATGACTCTGTCAGTAAGCTGAGAGGAGGAGACAGGTTTGAATCCCCAAATCCACACAAAATTGCCTGGGTGGGCAGAGACAGGCATACCCCTGAATCTTGCTGGCTGGCTAACCTTAGCCCAAACTAGTGAGCTTTAGGTTCAGTAAGAGACCCTGTCTCAAAAAAATAAAGGTGGGGGAAAGACGCCCACATGTGTCTGTAAACACACACACACACACACACACACACACACACACACACTCACACAAGAAAATAAGAAAGAAAAGAGGGTGGATCTAGGGAGGCTTTCTTGAATCCAGACTTTGACCTATAGAACACAAGGTCTCTTTGAGACACCAAATGGAGTGGTTCAGCTGGCAGCTGTTTTCCTGGCTCTAAGCCACATCCAGGACCAGCTCCAGCACAGCCTCTTGCAGGGAGCCCCAAACAGCCATCATTCCTCGGAGCACTCACAGCATCCTGGACTTTTTGCCAAGTGGTATTTGGGTCTTTGTTTCATCGTCCCCTCGTGTCTGGAAGTGAAGGTGAAGTTTAAGGACTTGATTGTGCACTGTGGTATATCATTAAGGGGACGTGTCAGATAGGGTGGAGGATGGGACATGGAAAGGAGACTCAAAGGAAGATCAAGGGCCCTTGAGCAGGATGCCCAGGAGCAGGAAAAGAGGTGAGGCAGGAGAGTAGGTAGAAGGCTAAAAGAGGAGGAGGGGGTGGGGGAGTACTGGTGAGGGGCTGCCTATTTCACCAAGCCCACGAGTCTGGTTATATCTTTTCTAAAGAGCCTTCACATCTTCCCCAACCTGACCCCCTGCCAAAGGAGCCAGAGTACTTCGAACATGAATCACTCCAATTTAGCAAATGTGAGGTGGACTTCTGGGTGGGTGCCTCGCTAGCCACATGTTTATGGTGAGCAGCCGCTGCCCTGCCTACTCCATGCACTTTCCAATTCATTGCCTATCTAGAACAGATGCAATATTTAGTGCCTTGAGAAATGCTCCTGGCACACCTGCTTCCTGCTGCCCCTCCCCCAGGCTGAGTTGGGGGTAGGGTGGGAGGATTGTCCAGTGGATGTCTGGACTAGAGTCTGAGTTTGGCTCCTCACATCTTGAATTGCCTTTCCACAGGCCACCAGCTTAAATACCCTTGGGGCCAGTCTGCAGCCACGGGATATACCTGAATCTCTCTCACAATCTCAGGTTTATTTGGGATGACTTCTCATTTCATAGAGAGGAATCTGACTTATCCAGATCTAGCTGGCATTCTCTGGCAGCACGGAGGTAGGCTCAGCAGTTCCCAGCCTCCAGTCCTGCAATACCAAAAGAAGTGGGATCCATCTCTGCTGCCCCCAGGAGGCTGGTGCAAATGGAGCAAAGTTCCAGGATACTCAGCAGGTGATTGGGGAGGAGGGGCAGGGTGCTTATGCTTGAGCTCTGAGCCCACCTGGATACTTAGCTTTGTCACTTTCAACTTGTCCTCTTTAGTAGTCAGCTGACTCAAGGGCCTCCTCCCATCTCTTGCACCAGCTATGGACTCCAGAGTTATGAGCTCCTCTAGACCAGTAAGGTTCTCAAGCTTTGGGTCATGACCCCTTTAGAGGTCATATCAGATATCCTGAATATCAGATATTTACATTACCATTCAAAGCTATCAAAATTTCAGTTATGAAGTAGCAATAAAAATAAATTTATGTTGGGGGGGTCACTGTATTACAGGGTTGAAGCATTAGGAAGCCTGAGAACCACTGCCCTAGACCATGTAGGACTCCTAGCAAGTCAGGCAAAGCTATCCAAGCCCAGGAGCTTCTTTAACACAGAGGCCATCCCTGATGCCTGTACTTGTTAGTACCCTTGTTAATTTCCCCGAAGGGAGGCTGCCCTGCTACAGCTGTCACTGGTGCCTGTGCTTGCTAGTAAGCTAAGAGGTAGAATGACTACCAGCAGGGCTGTTACAGCTGGGATGCACCCCCTCTTTTCACCTACAAAGTGGAAGGGTACCCCCAATAACACATGGTTAGGGTTTTCCATCTATTCCTGATGCTCACCAGGGCCTGTCAGACAAAAGACAGGGAACTGGCGGGTTCACCCCCCCTTCTGAGGGACTAGTAGGGCTTCCATTGGATCAAACTTTTATACTGTAGAGCAGAGAAGCCACCACTAGAGGTCATCATGATACAAAGGTGCTGATAAAAAGTGGCCCCACTGGCCTCTGCCCAGGGTCTTGCCTTTGTAGATTTTCCATGGCAAGAGGGCTCTCCTGACAAAGGGGGGAAGGATCCAATTGAGATTATAGTGGAATTGTGAACAACTGTGGCGTGTCCATTCTGAGAATACATGTCCAATCAAGAAGGAAAGCCATCTTACTGTCTGGGGATGTAATGGTTAACAGAATCTCATTGGCAAATATGCATCTGAAAGGCAGGGCTTGTCAGGTGAGGGCATGTGCTTATTAAAGGGTAGCATCTTAGGAACTGCAAACGCTGTTTTAGAAGGAACTTGCCATACACTAACAATGCTTCTCCAGTCACAGATGGGAAGCATCTGGCTATACAAAAGCAGAGTCCCAAGTTCCATTTCCAGAGATTCAGATGCCTTGAGCCTAGGATCCAGGAGTCTGTACAGGAAGATGCAGACAGCCTAGTGGGACCACACTTCAGAAACACTGCAAATGTTTACCAGATGACAGGCAAGGCAAATTGTTGCCATGGAACAGATAGTGAAATTGAGGGGGTAATGGAATAAAGGCACTCAGCAGGGACCAAAAGCCATAATGCACACTGTGCCAATGTTATCTAGCACCTTCTGGAGGTAGTCTCTGTGGGCAGAAGATGCAGCCTTGGTCCTCAGGGTCCACTGGGGCTCAGAGGACAAGCTGGTCCAGATGCAGAGGTGTGTGTGTGTGTGTGTGTGTGTGAGAGAGAGAGAGAGAGAGAGAGAGAGAGAGAGAGAGAGAGGATGTAGGAGCTACTCAGGACCTTGGAATTAGGAACTGAACCTGGGGGTGAGAGCTGAGCAGGTTTTGACGAGGCAGTGCCAGCCATATGTGATTTCTGGAAAACCCATCGCCAAAATACAAAATTACTTTCCACGTGTGGGATGGTGCTGTTGGGGTGACCTCTCTTGCCAAACAGCAGGTTTATTCCCACATATTTACAGCTTGGCAAGATTGTCACTTCACTAGAAAAGAAAGGGCCTGGTGGGACCTCTTAGCGCCGGGATTGAGCTGAAGACAACACTCACGACCCATAGTGACTGGCAGCACAGAGGAATGTGGCCGGGACCCCCAAACCTCACTGACCCACCACCCAGGCCTTCATAAAACCCTACAGTGCTTGCCCCGCCCACACTCCAAACGGGTCCAGCCACTCCTCCCAACACCGAGACCCTTGTCCCTCCCACCTTCCTTGAAAAGAACTCACCACCACGATGCCTAAGCAGGGCGAGCAGAAAGATGAGGAGCAGGGGCGTGCCCCTCATGGCCGGCCTGGTGGCGGTGGGTCACCCTGCACTGGAACTGCGAGTGAGCGACTGTCCTGGTTGGCAGTCTGTCTAAGGGCTCTGCACTAGGACCCAGCGGAGTCCGCGCGCCCCGCCTGGGAAGCAGCTGTGGGTTCCGCCCACTCGGGGGACTGAACTGGAGTTAAGGGGAGACCAAGGGCTGGATGTGTCCTCGGGGACCTGTGGCTAAGGATGATGGTCCTGAGACTTTCCCACACTCAGGAGGCGGGCAGTGCATGACATTTCGGGGAAGGTGGACTAGCTCTTAATCTCCTTATTTGTCTTGGAGACTGGGGAAGGGTGGAGTTGTAGGATGAGGGAGAGTCAGAGTGGGCTGGCTTGCATCCCCTTCAACCTCTTAGCCTGGACTTACCAGAAGCAACTTGAGTGGCTGAAGGGAGCAAACAACAATTTCCCCCTCCTAGGTGCTCCACAGCTGAATTTAAGAATCTAGAGTTATAGGACAAGACAAAACAGGTGTCAGTGCCAGCCACCTACCCTCCCTCGAGTTCCAGTCAAGAGGGCCTCTCAGGTGGGAGGCTTGCTAAAGCCAAGGCTGGCTCTCCCAGCCCTGCACCTGCTCCCAAGAGACAGCCAGCAGCTTCAGGGACAGAGTAAGCTCAATGGGACCAGGAGGAGCCACTACCTAGAGAAGACAGAGGTCTGTCCAGTCGCCTTCACCAATGTCTTCTTGCTATATAACCTGACATATTGGCCCAGGGTTTTTAAAACAAAAGCAAACGAACAAGCAAAACGTCGATGACATGAACTGCCATTCACCTTAAGAGCGGTTTGGAGGATTCACGTCTGAGTGTCTCCTCTGCTCTTTACTGCAGCAATAATAGGTCAGATTCACAAAGTGAATCCAAAGTCACACCAGACTGAAAAAGTAGTCCGTGATCTTCCTGAACCAAACCCAGGAAAGAGATGCAGAGGGCTGATGCCTAGGACCTGTGGGGTTTGGAAGCTAAGGGCAGCAGTAGGTCCTTTCACATGAAGGGGGATTTAGGGGATCTTGGTTGAAGCTAGAGTGCATGCCAGTCCTTGAGAGGATGCTGGGAAGTGGTGGAAAGCCTGCATGACCATAGTTGTCTGCAGCCTTGGCTGTCTAGTATGTACTATCTCTGATGTGCCACAGTATGGGGTGGAGGGTAGAAGAGGAGAGAGAGCATGGGGGGAAGCGGTTATGGAAAAAGAAAAAGGACCAGAGGGGTGAGGAAGGAGAGAGAAGAGAGTACTTGGGAGGGTGTGATTAATGACCAAAGCATTTTATATACATATATATGACAATGTAAAAGGAACACTTTCTTTGAGACGGGGTTTCACTATGTAGTCCTGACAATGCTGGAACTTTTTATGTAGACCGGGCTGGCCTCAAACTCAGAGATCCCCCTGCCTCTGCCTCTTGAGTGCTGGAATTAAAGATATGGGTCATTATATGTAGCTCAAACCTATTATAAAAAATATTAGCAATACAAAAGGTTTAAAAAGGCACAAAACGTCAACTTTCTTAAAAAGTAAAGCCCTCTAGTCAAGAAACATCCATTTTACTGTCATAGGATTTCTTACATATGTGATTAAGTAGCTGATTTTCAATTTTTAATCAAATAAACTATAAAAGTGATTTTTAATGACACAAAGAAGTAAGTTCTTTGTGAAGTACTTGTAGTTTGTCTATAAATCTCAGATGTGTAAAACAGCAAAAATATTCCTACAAACAAATTAAGTGAGCAGACAGCCAATAAAATAAGAACTGGTGAATTCACTCCAGGCAAGATATTTCTAAAGAAGCCTGACAAAAAGCCAATCCTCCTGGGTGGTACATGCTACAGGCAGTTACTTGTACATGCTACCATGAATCACCATGGAGGCCAGAGGAGACCATCAGGTCCTGCTCTATAACTCTCCATTGTATTCCCTTGAGTCAGGGTCTCTCTGTGTACCTTATGCAGCAGCTGTTCCTACCCACTGAGCAATATCCTCAGATCCAGATTCTTTAAAATTTATTTATTATAAATGCAACATTCTGCCTCTGTGTATGCCTGCACATCAGAAGAGGGCACCAGATCTCATTATAGATGGCTGCGAGCCATCACGTGGTTGCTGAGAATTGAACTCAAGACCTCTGGAAGAACAGCCAGTGCCCTTAACTGAGGAGCCACCTCTCTAGCTTCCAGATTTTTTTTTTAATAAGAGAAAAAGAGGTAGAACTATCCAATTACTTTCTAGGGGAAAGTATACCTTGGCACTGAGTTGGAGTAAGGACGTATAAGAAAAGTGCACAGTAGGGCAGTCTGCCTGATGATGGGTCTCTAACCCAAGGGATTGCATGACCTCCCAAGTCTGATAATTGGGATTTTTTACTACATACTAATCTCCTATGTGGCCTTGAAGGAGTGATCACCTTCTCTCTGCCTTCATTTCTTCATATTTTAGAACAGGAACTAACCTCCCAGTAGGCCTTCTAAGGATGAAAGGAAATAAGTCATGGAAAGTACCTTAACGCTGCTTAATAGGCCCAGAACACATAAAACTTTATAAATGTTAGCTGTTACTGTCTATTAAGAACATAGATTCTAAAATTCTAAATAAGATAATACCAAGTCATGCATATAAGGGGAAATAATGCTTCACAGAAATGTGGGTGTTCTGCCAAGAATACAGGGACAAGTTCAGTCAGGTAATTCATTAATAATTAAATATTCATCTGATGAAACCCATACACACTGCTTCCTTAATGCAATAAACCTGGAGTATGATAAATGGGAGAATTTTACCAGCAGTTTCCACTGGGTCATACTGAGACAGGGTTCTTTCATCACTGTTTGTATTTAGCCATGCACTGCAGGTCTTAGGCAATGTGTTAAGTTAAAGTAAATGAAACTGCCAATTTTTTTTTTTAGGTCACAAGTTCCCCAAATCAGCAATTTATATAATCCAACCCATAGTAGAAGCCGATAAAGGTAATAAATTTCAAGAATTGGAGAGGAAAGATTACCCATATTTGCAGGCAATATGATTGCTCTGTGGAAGATCCAAGGGATAAATTATCAAACAGATAAATTATTAGGACTAGCGAGAAAGCTAGGAAGGTTGCTGCACTCAAAATGGTTTGTATCTCACAGGGGTCTGGAGAGATGGCTTAGTAGTTAAGAGCACTTGCTACTTTTGCAGGAGACCAGAGTTTGGTTCCCAGCACCCACACCAGACATCTCACCACTGCCTGTAACTCCAGCTCCAGGGGATCCAACAACTTATTCTGGCCTCCACTGGTTCCCACACCCATGTGCACATGCATATAACCAGACACATAAATAATAAAATCTTTTTAAAAATTATTGTATTCCTGTGCACCTATAATAATATTATAAAATATAGTGGAAGGCTGGAAGTGCCTGCCTAGCATGCATGAAGCCCTGATTATGTCCCTAGTGATGCATAAACTAGGTATGAACCTGTAATACTAGCACTGGAGAGGTGGAGGCAGGAGGATAAGGAGTTAAAGGTTATCCTGTGTGCATAGTAAGCTTGAAGGCAGCTTGGGATGCATGAGGCCCTGTCTTCAAAGCAAAACAAAAGGACTAGGAAATGTGGCAGGGAATAGACTATATTTATAGTAATGATAAAAACATCAGAATATATTTAGAAAAAATATATGCCAGATTTCTTATGACCAATATCACTATGGTCTGAATGTGCTCTTCAGATTCATGTCCTGAAGCTTACTCACCAGTGTGGAAATTCAGATGTGGGTCTTTTGGAAAGGTTGGAATAAGAGAACAGATCCCTCATAGATGGAACAAGCACTTTATGGAGTGCTTGGGAGAAGGATGGTTTGACCCCTCCAGAGGATGCCACATCCCAGGAACAATCTTTGAAGCAGAAACTAGCCCTCACCTGACACCAAACATGCTGGGACCTTAATCCTGGAACTTTGAGAAAGTAAGTTCAGGTTGTTTACAAATTATCCAGTCTTGGACATTTTTCTATAGTAGTGTAAACAAATTAAGACAAACCTAAGAATTGCACAGGGACTGACCAGTGGAGATTTATACCATACACAATCCGAATAGGAAGATTCCATATTATAATCATATCACTTCTCACCAAATTAATCTACAAAGTCAATTAAATTTCTGCACAAATCCCCTTAGAACTTCTCCTGGTACATGACAGACTAGTCATAAAATCTGTGAGAAATAAAAATGGGCTGGTGTTCAAACAAAAATACATGAACAAGCTAGCCATTGCTGAGCTAGGGGTGGGCTGCTTACCGACCTCCATGTATGTGCAAGGCTCTAGGTTCTGTCTCCAGTGCAGTAAAGAAAAACAAAGCAAAGCTTTGCCTGATAAGGCATAAACGTTGCAAATTGTAAACTAGCCTTTCTCTAAAGCCAGGGTGCCAGCCAGTTCTGCTCTTTGTGAGCTACCCCCTCCTGGCTCAAGAGGGTTGGACATCAAGGAAAGAGAGCCTGGGGACTCTTCTCCATCTGGTCTCAAGAGGGATCTAATCCCACCACAATGGCTCACTATTGTAACCCAGCCACCCACTGCCAGAGGCTGGGGATTTAACATATGAATTTCGTCTATAAGAAATAGTAAGCAATATCTTGTTTATTTATTTATTTATTTATTTGTTTATTTATTTAGTTATTTGACTTATAAAAAGGGTCTGTGTCTCCCAAGCTGACCTAGAACTCTCTATGTAACTGAGAATGACTGGTTTCTGATCCTCTTGTTTCTACAACCCAAGAGCTGGATTACAGATGACTCACTCTGTCATGTCCAGTTTGTGCCCAGCTAGGGATGGAACCCAGGGCATTGTGCAGGCCAGGCAAGCACTCTACCAACAGAACTACATCCCTAGCCTCTGAAGGAAATTGCTTAAATGAAAGGAAATGCCGAAAAGGACATACTCAAAAGAAAAATGGCATTAGATTCCACTTGTTCTAACTGCGTCATCTTTAACTATTGAAACTTCTGCTCAATCTGCTCGTGGCCAGTGCTCTCTACCCGTGGGTTCCACACCCTCAGCAGCATCCACATTGTTATGTCTATGTAGCAGTAACCAAGAGAAGTGACTTAATGGCCATCATGAAACTCTGGGATATCTGCACCATAGAGAGAGAC